ACAGATTTTCTTGCCACTACTGTAATCTCTCTTCTTGTTTCTTTTCTCGTTCTTCTTGTTTCTTTTCTTTTTCCTCCAACAACTGCTGTAGTCTCACTTGTTTATTTTGCTGTTCGAGCTGCCACTGTTACAGATTTTCAGTTGCCACTGCTGTAATCTCTCTTCTTGTTTATTTTCCTTCTCCTACAACAACTGCTGTAGTCTCTCTTCTTGTTTATTTTCTTTCTCCTCCAACCACTGCTGTAGCCTCTCTTCTTGTTTACTTTCTCGTTCTTCTTGTTTCCTTTCTTTTTCCTCCAGCAACTACTGTCATATCTCTTGTTTATTTTGCTGTTCGAGCTGCCACTGTTGCAGGTTTTCTTGCCACTACTGTAATCTCTCTTCTTGTTTCTTTTCTCGTTCTTCTTGTTTATTTTCTTTTTCCTCCAACAACTGCTGTAATAAAAGGTTTATAAAGTACAAAATATCATCTACAAGAAAACTTGTCAAGATACTTTGATCAAAATTAATGCAGAGTAATGCATTTTAATGCATATAAAATTTTAAACTAAAATATATACAAGTCACGAGAAAATAAGATAAAATAAAACCCTTAACAAAGAAACATACAGTAAAATATATAAATCCTCTTTAGCAATGATGCAGGTACACACATAGCCATATAACATTTAGCAAAGAAGAACATTAAAACGTATAAATAAGCCCTTTAACATAGAATTACATCATATATATTTAGCAACTTTAAAATCCGTCAACCAGACTATATATACAAAATTACTAAATCATCTTTAAATTGCACCATTTCAAGAAATTGACACTTAGTTCTTAATAGTCAAATTATTAACAACAACAACGAAAAAGAATGTATATAAACTAAAAGACTAAAATATGAACACGCTAATACATTTGCAACTCCAAAACAGAAATACATATAAAATTAATAAACTATATGTATAGTTACCCTTTGATTGCTGCAGTTATAGATATGATGGCTTCTTACACCTTAACCATGGCTCTCTTTGTAGTCATTAGCTCGGCACAAAAGCAGTACATTCTCATCAAACTGCAATGAAGGTGTTCTTCCCTGCCCCAGTCAGTCCTATTCTCAACTGTAGAGGGTCCAAGCCTATGTATGTGGTGCAGCCATCTCCCGAAAATGACGTTTAAGAGCGGGGATCTGCTGAAAGATAATTTGGTCCATTATGATGGCAGGTGAAACCATTAGGAACTCGACTTTTGGCTGTTACCAGATAGCTTTCCAGAGATTCTTCAATGAAGGTTCGATTGCAGAGTCTTCTAACGTATGTTGCTTCATCTCACTGACGGTTGGGGTACTTTAGAGGTTGAGGCACTGTTGGTTTGTTTATTTTTCGAAATTCACGAAAAGCTACTCGAGGGCTATCTGTGTTGGTCGTCCCTAATTTAGAAGCGGTAGACTAGAAGGGTGCAGTTAGTAAACACCACCCACTGTCAACTATTGTGCTACTCTTTTACCAACAAAAATGGATTGACTATCACATTATAATGCCCCATGGCTGAGCATGTTTGATAGCAAGATTAGTATTGATGGTACTGCAGATTTAATTGTGGCATTTGATGATGTCCACGGTCTTTGAGTGGTTGTCACTGCCCCAGTGGTGGTATATTTTTCTGCAGCATCAATAAACACCTTCCTTCTGCCTCGCTGGCAAATGGCCCCTTGAGGTGACATCAACTTTTTCAGCTTGGAGATTTAAAGCAGTGTCAGTTACTAGGAATTTTCATACGGGGTATTCAAGTAGGAGCTTTATGGTGTTTTATGACTGGACTGCTGCTGTTTCAACATCAGGCGTGGATGTGGTCATCAGTTACATTATTGGTGGCGTCACTATGCTGTCCAGCAGGAGCTTGGGTGTAGGGGATTCAGTCTCATCTGACAGACTTAGTATGTCCCATATGTATCAGTCAGCAATGCACCTTCAACCATAAGCTCTACTGGATCAAAGGTTAGGTTGGTTCCAGTCATTCTCAAAACAGTGGAAAGGTCCAAGGAGAAAATCATTTTCACCATATCGGCCTCCCATCCCATCATTTTTGATAATTCAGCACACATATGATTCGGAAATAAGCCACTACCAACTGGAGATGAAGAAGCCGACTTGGTCCAGAACTTGACCATAGATTTTCAATGTCCAGATTGAAAAAGTCAGGTTACTGAAATTTGATTGGTCAAAAGGTCAGACAAGTTTGTAGGTTGAAAGGGGGATCATAACTGACTGGTTGCGATTATTACTTTCCTCTAAATTTTCTTATAGAGACCAAGTAACACTGAACTCCCTTTACCAACTGACTCTTTTACAGGGCCCACATGCACTCATGCAAAAATCACCCATAGAACGTGTATTCCTCCTGTGTTCGTGGATACCTCGATCCACAGGCCACCATACGGCACCAACTTGACCTATACATATTTAGCTGTGCTGCCACTGTTGTCAATGAACAAAGCACTTACTGTGAAATTGGATCCTATACTTATACTGATTTAGATTAGGTAAAACTAACCTTTGATTTTGACCTGTGGCATCCATCAATGCTTATACCCTCTTTCTATATGGACCTTCTTTTAGTTACAGGTTTATTACTAGCAATTGTGCAAATTACAATTTCCACATTCCTCTAGTACACTTACAGTATACATTTTCGTACACTTTGAGCAGTTCCTTGTACTGAAACAATGCCGAGAAAATATTCATAAAACTGCGTTCTTTTCTAGATATCTAAATCAACATGACTGAAAATATTCCACCACAATCAAATAAAATAACGGGTACACTAAATTCATATTTGCTATGACATTTCAGCTAATGTCTGTGTACCTTCAATAATTTTATCTAAGTTATAATTCAGTTGAAAGTTTTGCACCATTCTTATTGGAAACCGCAGGTGAAACTGTGTTTTCTCTCAGACAGAGTACTGCAATACTCAGAAAATCATAGGTAAAACTGTTTTCTTTCTCATATTTAGCATGATTCACTTTTATATTCTCATGCTATTGTTACGTCTCCGTTCGTTAATTAACTTTCCGTAACTTCGTTCCGACTAAACTTTAGCGACACAAGTCCTTACCTAATAAAACTGGTTTATTCTTTCCGAATACAACTTTACGATACACTTATTTTCAACAGTCGCTCTATAATAAACGCTATACCAACGAACGTCAACAATACTTCTGACTGCAGTTCAATTACTCACTATCTACACACACATTATTGTCCCGTCACGTTGTCACCCTCTTTTATATACC